TACAGGAACCAGGATAATGAAAAGGAACCAGGGAGGTAAAGGAAAAGAAAGAATCTGAAAGAGAAGAACAGTAGGAAATAAATGTTAATAAGGGAGATGTGGATAAAAATGGTGTTTTGTGGGGGAGGGGGGAGGGAAAGTTAACAAGGAACGTAGGAGATAAAGGGAAAGAAGGAGCTCAAGAGAATTGGGATCATAGGAGAAGGGTATTATGAAAGGAGAAATGGGAAAAATGGGGGCACCTTAAATGGGGAAAACATGTGGAAGTGTTAGACAATGTGAGGGATAAATAATGCCTAGCTAGTTTGAAAACAACAACAACAACAACAAAAAAAAAAAACAGAGGGAACCATATTAGTCCAACAACCTACTTATAAATTATACATACAACTAGATCAAGGAATATAATATATGTGTAGGCAAGATTTATCTGAGTGTATGGCTTTTGCTCAAGCTTTATCTATATGGCACATGGTAATTAAAAGTACCAGACTGGTGGAACCAACCTTCTTGGATGTCTTAACAGACCTATTTTGAGGCCTATACTAATTTGGTCAGAGGGACATAAAGGACAGTTTTTTCTCCTTGCCCTCCTAGGTTAACTAAGTTCCAGGAGACTACAAGCATCTTTCAAATTGTCCTGTAACTGTGGCAAGTCACCTGTCCTCTTGATCAAGGAGGCTGTGGAGACCCCACCAGATGGACTGGAACCAATGTCCAGTACAAAGAGGAGGGTCAACACAGAGTAAACATTTCCTCCATGCTTCTAAGTGAAGTCAGCCATGGCCGATCAGGACCTTTGACTTATCTTCAGATAGAAAACACTGGTTTAAAAAAAAAAAAGAAAAAAGGAGCCAGGGGCTCCTCCAAAGCCCATGTGACCCCTGAGGGACAGATCCTTAAATGGCAGTAAGAATAAAAATAAATTGGTTTATCTGGGCCAACTCTAGGGTCTTAAACAACCAAAAGTAAAGTATAACCAAAGATTAATAGGGTCAATATAATTTTTAAGAGTCTATATATATATATACATACATATATATATATAGCTAAAGGCTACATAACAAGAAACAACGCCAGACAAGAGATACCTTTCTTTGACTTGTTGCCGAGGGAGGCCCAAGAGACTCCCAGACAGTAACCCAGCATAGAACTGGGAAAATGAACAGCAGGCCTCAATCTTATCTAAAGGAATATTGACAACTGATTATTGCTAGATGAGGAACAGCTGATCTTCCTAAAGAAGGATCACTACACAGGCTGACTAGATGCAGTGGATGGGCAAGCACTGGGGAATGGCTGGGGGCACCAACAACACAGTGGCCAGTAACAGGGATGACAGTATATAGGCTCCATTTGAGGGGGATGCTATGGGAGGGTAACCATTTAGGAAGTGGGTATAAAGATGAATAAAATTGTTTGGGATGTTCTGTATGATACACACACACACACACACACACACAAATCAACAAATAAAAAATGAGTTATATTTGAGGAGGAAGCATAAAAATTTACTTCATGTTAATTAGTAGAGGTGATAAACATTACCTCTATCTGATGACTTTATATCCATATTCAGGTGCCAAGGATCTGCGTGTCACCTTCTGTTACTAGTAATAATCAGATACATAAAGATTAGAGATGCATGTATAAACATCTAAGTGTTAGTAGCATTAAAAATGAGTCTGTAGGAGACAGTATATTTTAAAATGAAATGGAGATCTTTTTTTTTTCTTTTGTCTTTTTGAGACAGGGTCTCCCTGTAGCCCCACCTGTCCTAGAACTCACTATGTAGACCAGGCTGGGCTCGAACTCACAAAGATCCACCTGCCTCTTTTTTAAAGGTTAAAAACTCATTCAATTTTATGTCTTACATGGTTTATACTGAGTTCAATATTGTATAACTGTATTAATTCAACTGTGAACCAAAAATTTACGGCCACTTTTGAAATAGATGTGTCTTTGCTCTGGAAATTGTTACTGAATATGTTAAAGCTGTAATGAAATGCTTCTTCTAATTATGTGGTTATTAAACAAATAAAAAATCATAATATACATGTTTAAGAAACATTGTTAATCATAATAAATTTTACAACGGATTATATAATGAAAAAGATAAAATGATTTCTTTCTCATTGTTGAGAAACCCAATGAGATTTATTTTTTATTTTTTAATGTGTATGAGTGTATTGCCTGCATGTGTAAATGCACCCATGTCGTGCAGTTCCCACAGGTTTCAGAAGAGAGCATCAGATCCCCTAGAACTGGAGTTACAAATGGTTGTTAGCCGCCATGTGGGTGATGGGAATCAAGCCTGGGTTCTCTGCAAGAGTAGTCAGTGCTCTTAACTGCTGAGCCATCTCTCCAGGCCTTCAACAAGATTTCTTTTGAAAGTAATGTAATATCTTTATTTTATATCAATAACACAAAGCACAAGACCTAATGACAAGAGCACAATATTTCAACATCCTCATGTATCTGAACCACCCTAACATAAAAAGAATAAAATAACTGTTCAATTAGAGTGTAAGAAGGAGTCATTCATTAACGATTCTATGAGCAAGAAGAGTACCTATTATGATATACAAACTCTGTTTGGAAAATATTAAACAAAGCCATGTCTCCACCATTTCCTATATCTAAATGAATACATTGCAGCATAGGTGTATTGCAGTTTTACACCAGATGCTTTCTTTTTTCTTCCCACATTTTCTCCAGCTGTAAGCACAAGATGTACCTGGAAAGGCTGCCGAACACCAGCATCATTATCCCATTTCATAATGAAGGCTGGACCTCACTCCTGCGGACCATACACAGTATAATTAACCGAACTCCAGAGAGTCTGATAGCAGAAATCATTCTAGTAGATGACTTCAGTGATAGAGGTAAGATGCTGCTGAAAACGTTTTGTCTGAGGTCGTTATCACCCACATAATTGTGAAGAGTTTATTTTTAAAAAAGGAAGATACTAAGATAGTTTCATTTGGATTCCACCAGAAAGGTGTTTATGAAATTTTATCTATGTTGTGATTATAGAAATATGGTGGCCAGTATCAAACCGAGCTTAATGAGAATCTATTGATATTAGGAGGAGGGGCCATGATAAGACATTTGCATTGCATTCTCTTGAAAATCAGACAGATTTTTTGCGAAATGCCTCAAACAATACTTTCAATCAGGATAAAGCATGAAAATAAGTTATTATAAACATATATTGATAGTGAAGTATTCAAGTTGATCTATAAATATGTTCCTATTTCTGAATAATGTATGTGTTCTGTTGTTTACTACTGTAATACTGTTTTCAGGTATGGTTGTGTGACTTCATAAATACTAGAAGTTATAAAGGAAACAAATGGATATTTTTACTTGTAAAGTCCAGCCATTTTATCATATCTGAACAGTGACAGAAACCATCCATAATAGCAGTATATTAGAAGATATGACATGATTACTATTTTTACCATACTGGTAAAATGCAATTGGGTTTACGAGACAGAAGATAAAATTATAAAATTTTCCTAAGTGTAGTACTTCATAAATTACATTTGGTCTAAGTAGGGTGTTAATGTTATAGAGATAGGAAAGCCACTTCCCGATATTATGAGCAAATAAGGAAGAGATCGTATGATTTTCATATATTTGCGAGTTTAAATTTCTGTCTTCTAGTTTATTTCATGAAGTAGTTTCATTTAATACTACATCAGCAAGAAAGAATGGCAAGTTATTTGAATACTATTATATCAGAAAAGAAAATCCGCCCTTAGATGCTATGCGTTAATTGTACGTTTGGAAATTACTTTTGCTGCAAAGCATCATTTATTTTCATAGTATTTTCAAACTCTGTAAAGAACAGATTAATGTGCTAATATTGACTAGAATGTATTTGAAATACTGATCCAGGGTTTGTCTAATTTCAATGGGTGGTGGTCTTTGTATGTGAAAACGAGACTATTTGGCATCGTTCCTATCCAGTGTAAATTACTGGCATGATCATTTTGGTTCGATTTTAAACAAATTTTCGCCTCTCATTATTTATTTCAATTTGTGTTTTCATTACCTAATAATAGGAACTAATATATACAATTTGAATATTCAGAGATTAAAAAAATTAGCCGGGCATGGTGGCGCACACCTTTAATCCCAGCACTCAGGAGGCAGAGGCAGGTAGATCTCTGTGAGTTCAAGGCCAGCCTGGACTACATAGTGAGTTCCAGGACAGCTGGGGCTACTGGGAGACCCTGTTTCAAAAGGACCAAGAAAAAAATAATTGAACAGCAAACAGTTCATTTTCTTCTCATTTATTTTATAGATTTCCAAAAAGTCATTACTACCTTAGCTAAATATAGGTATTTAGTATGTCAACAAATCTAAATCTTTATTTTTAATAAATGAAAAAGACAAGGAAGGCCTGGTGTTGTGGGTCACACCTTTAATCCCAGCACTTGGGAGGCAGAGGCAGGTGGATCTTTGTGGGTTCCAGGCCAGCTGAGGCTATGAGGAAACCCTGTCTCAAAAAGACAAAAAAAGAAAAAGAAAAAAGACAACAAAGTTGTGGGGCTGCAGATCACCAAGAGGACAGTTTTTGATTGACTGCAAACAAAAGAGATAAGGCAGCATATGATGTGACTGGATGATTTTCTACAAAATTAACGTTGTGTGGATAAACTGTATATTTAAACAGAAGGTTGACCCTGTGGTGCTGCAGTAAGAAACACTTGATGCAAAAATATGTGAGTTTAGAGAATTTTTTTTCTGAACACATTGAAAACAGTGGCATCCGCATTTTATTGGCTTCAAATCACTATCATCTTTGGTACAGACGCAACATTGATTACTCACCTTTCAGCAGTAAACTGTCAGCACAGCTAGTGATACAGCAGTAAAATCACCAGAAATGGTTAGTTCAATTGGTAATGGAGGGGTTTTTTTTTTCTTTCTTACTGGAGTTTTGAAAAGGAAAATGATCATTCTAATGCTTATGCAAGGGTTTCACACTAATATTCTATTCCTATGGGCCACCCAGTACTATTTTGTAATCAAAACCAAAAATATATTTTGAAAGAAATAAATGGTAAAAACACTTCTATAATCTTATGCTATATCATACCCATAAAATTATATGAAAAGGAAAGTGTCCTTTTCCAGATGTTTTTTCAGATTATAATATTTCACTTTCTAATGGAGCATGACTTTTGCTTTCTTTTTTTTTAAATTTTTATTTCATTTTTATTTAATAACCACATGGTTGGAAGAAGTATTTCATTAAAGCTTTAACATATGTATTAGTCAATTTTCTGTTGCTGTGATAGAATCACTGACCCAAGCAATTTATAGAAAGCAGAGTTTATTTGGGCTTACGGTTCCAGAGGAATTATAGTCCGTCATGGCAGGGAGGCATGATGGCTGGAGGTGCCTAGAGCAAGAGCAGCAGAAGCTGAGCTCTCACATCATCACACAGCTCAGGAAGCAAGAGAGTAACTGGAGATCTGGAAGCCTTAAGAACTCTCTAAACCCACCCCCAGTGACGTGCTTCCTCCAGGACAGCCACACCTTCTAAAACCTCCCAAAACAGAGCCATCATCTGGGGACAAAATGTCCAAGTACTTGGAGCCTATGGGGGACATTTTCATTCAAACCATCACAGCATATTTAATAACAATTTCCAGAGCAAAGACACATTTCTTTCAAAAGTAGCTGTAAAGTATGGAAATGTAAGAATTAACATAAAGACTGCAGGTCATAGTCCCACTACCTACTTCTAACTACATAACACCAGGTAAAGTTAGTTATCTCTGCATAGTCTCTGCCTTGTTAGCAATAGGAGGAGAATAGTACGTCTCCCCATGGAATACCCAGGATAAAAAGTCAGATGGTTGAGTGAATTGTATCATGGGTGGTCAGCTGGTTGAGTAAATTGTACAATAAACATATGAGTAGTTGATCTCAGCTTTTGATTTCCACCAACTGCTCCCCAACTATCCCATTATAATTTCCATTAATTTAAAGTAAGTTCACCCATGCTATGCAATGTCCATGGAGGCCAGAAGAAAGTGCCAGATCCCTTGGAACTGGAGTTAAAGATGATTGTTATCCACCATGTGGGTGATGGGAACTGAACCCGGGTCTTCTTAATCACTCAGCCATCTCTCCAGTCTCATGCATATATTTTTTTTAGAATACATTTTGAATTTCATCAAAGATACTCCATAAGAGCTCAAATCAATCAATCTATCATCCATCTATTTGTCTACCTATCATCTATCTCTATCTCTCTATCATCTATCTATCTGCCTGTCTCCCTAGTCACCTATCTACCTCTATCTCTCTCTCTATCTCTTTGCCTGTCTGTCTACCTATCTTTTCATTCATTCATCCATCCATCAGTCATATAGATAGCTCCAAAAATAAATCATCAAGAGCAAATGTGATAATTAATTATTGTAACTCATAATATTTTGGAAACTTTTGAAATGTTTTAACATAAGAAAACTCCCATATGAGATGGTGTATTCATTGCAAGCAATTAAATTAAATTCCAAGAATGTAATCAATAAAAAGGTCATGTTATCTACCTAAATTACATAGGTAGTCTAATAGGAGTGTTTAACGAATGCTTTCTAAGATCATGTTTTACTATCACAGCAAAAGGGAAACATCTCAAGGCATGTCTTGCTTCCAGTGTCTCCAAAACAGAAGCTGCTTCTATTCATTTGTTCGTCTTGACTTAGTATATCATTGTTCCATTAATGGTATAGTTATTAACATACATATTTATAAATCTGTATATAATAGCATACATATAATTCTTACTTTGAATATTCCCAGAAATCATAGCCTTGTAGTACATAAAGGACTTTTTGCTAGCCCTTTCAAACTCTGAACAAGAAAGCCAGGCAAATTTAAAGTACAGGAAACTATAGAGAATCCGTTGGCTTCCTTAAAGTAATTATTTCTGAAGTTTTACACTTTATGTTCAGTAATACATTCCAATCCTAGTTCCATTCAGTATGCAACCTAGCACCTTGAAACTGTAGTTTTTCTGTATATTCTGCATTGTCCTTCAGCCAAAGGCAATAAAAATTTGACAAGATTTAATCAAAATTTTCTGCCTTATATTTTAGGTCGTCACGGTCAATAGAATAGCTACACATGACAAAAATAAATAAAGAAAGCAATACTTCAGTGTGTGTTTACTAGCACAACCATAATATCACTTAGACTCACTATTTCCAACATATGTATCCAAGTAATTGACAAATCCTGCTACAGAGAAAAACACTAAAATATCTTATAGTTATGAATAATTCTGTGTTATTTCCATGTGATTTTTAAAAATCTGCCTAAGTAGGATTGACCTAATTCTCAGAAGTTATTTTAAAGTCGATATCCCATTTAGAAACTCTCAGTTTAGATACATTTTAAGGTAAGTTTGGTAAACAAAATATTGTTTTAACTTCAGAAAATAAGCCTACCATATCTAAAGCTTGAAGGTACAGGCCTCCAGCTAAGTTTTCAACAACTTCCACCTTATTTTCAGTATTAAGGCCTACCAGAGCAAGTGAATGTGTGACTTCCCCCTGTCCCCATAATAAGCTCTAAGAAATATATTTAACAACTTAACTTGAGGCCTGTAAGAAGGATTCATGATGATTTTAAAGCAGGACTAATCCTGGGCTTATCTTCAAATTCCAGGCAACCTTAACAGCATCCACATGGAAACTGTTGAAATGTGTGAAATAAGCTAGGGCTTAACCTCAAAGAGAGGGTGCATTTGAACCTGATAATTCTGCAAACATTGTATGCTTAGATGAGTGCAGTCAAAATTGGAAATGGTCACAGGAGAGCTGTTGGCACAAGTCATTCAATGTAGTATATATACAGA